AGCCTGACTTCAGAGATCAGCATCCCCGAGCAGACATGAGGAAAGACACGGGGACTCCTCCAAAAACTTTCACTGGCTGAAATGTGGTGGATCTAAGTCTTGTTCTAAAACCAAGCATCAATATCTAAGAGGTAAGAGTTAGCAGCTCCTCTTCATTGCTCAAAGAGCACTTGGTGGTAAATACAGGGCCAAATGAGTACCTGGTATTAGAGGGTGTCTTGAGCAATTACAATTCAGGATACAGAAAGCTGAAGATTTCCCAAACAACAGTCTAAACCCTTTATAAGGCTAGAGATGGGCCTAGAACTGGAGACAACACTGACGACGTTCCGCTGCAGCTGAACTTTGCAGTGCAGCCTCATTGCTAATACGTACAATGAGATTCTGAGCCCTTCTGGAGCAATGTGGACATTTACAATGAAGCCAAACTAATTTTCATGGGAAAGGTCACCTCAGGATCACATCACCCCAAAAACCAGACACCCCAACAACCTTGGCAAGGACACAATGCATAAAAGCAACACGCTTATGGGAGAGCAGCAGGCTTGAAATACAAAAGAACTCTTCCTGTTTTCCAAAGCCTTTTAGGGAGGGGACACGCAGTCACTGTTCTGAGAGGGCCCTGCCACCATAAAAGCAACCAAGGAGCAGACTGTTATGCTGCCCAGAGGGATGGGAGATAAACAGAGAGAAAGAAATGAAGACCCAGGAAGAGCTGACTGCTCCCCTCACCACCGGTTCAAACACGAAGACAAGTGGACTATCACTTGATGCCTTCAATGCCAACGTGCTGTACCTGCATGCCTGAAATCATGAGAAATAAAGGTGATGTTTGTTTACACATTGCACAGCCCCCAAAGAGTACAACTGGGTCTTTTTAAAAGGGCTACATCATGGTATGCACATTAATATACTTTCTAGTTCTGTAAGTAATAACCCAAACTCATGATAAAGGGCATAAACTGCCCACCACAGGGATCAGGAAGGAATATTTTCCTCAGTCACAGCACTGCATAACTGGCTAAATGTCAGGGGGGGCTGAAGGCGCTGAATCAATATCTGGTGCTTCAGAAAAATGTAACTATTTCTGGAGACAAGATCCTGAAGAGACAAGTGGCCTAATATGGTGCTGCAGAAATCCTCTGTTCCTAACATTCATTCTCTCTCCCAGTCACCGTCAAGAACACTGATTGTTTCCATCCCTCTCATCACGAGGATGTTCCAGTCAGTTGTTTCACAGAATCCTATCCACAGGACACAGTGTTCATGGGATGGGGGAAGACTCTTGAAGCCTTTATTTTGAGCAGACATGTTCCTGGATTACCCATGTTAGTACTCTGTCTGTTTAGATGTGGCCCAGTGCTGCTGCTGACCTTGCCCATGAAGAGCAAGGGGGCGGGGGGGCAGGGATAGCTCAATGGTTTGAGCATTGGCCTGCTAAACCCAGGGTTGTGAGTTCAATCCTTGAGGGGGCCATCTAGGGATCTAGGGCAAAATCAGTACTTGGTCCTGCTAGTGAAGGCAGGGGGCTGGACTCGATGACCTTTCAAGGTCCCTTCCAGTTCTAGGAGGTAGGATAAGAGTCACGAGGAAGAATGAAGGAGACAGGGTGCACAGGGTTACCTTGCCTTCTGGAGTCATTTTCCACATTACAGAAAACGTCAGTCTGTCTTTCATAGGATTGAGACTGCACAACTCCTCGCAAAGCAGCCTGGGAAGCATAGGGATCACCTGAAAAAACAAGACAGCATGGGTAAGGACATTCACTTCTTGTGTCCTGACTCCCCCAAGGCACAGGTCCCCAACAAAAAGCAAGGAAAAGGTCTAAACAGAGTCACTTAAATGGAGCATCTCTTCAGCTCTCAAAGTTACAACCTCTATGCCTTCTGCAGCCTTCTCGCTGCCACTTTAACACTGGGAGGGATGGGGGAAGCTCAGCAAAGTATAACCGGAAAAGGCAGGAGTTTTCCAGTGGTTAGAGGCATAAGAGTCTTGCTTGATTCTGTTCCCTGCTCTGTCACATGCAGACTGACATTAGGTAAGTAATTTAACTTGCCCTAATCTGCCCTCTGCAAAATAGGTATAATACTTCCCTATGGCTACGTCTACACTACCCGCCTGAATCGGTGGGTAGAAATCGATCTCTTGGGGATCGAATTATCACGTCTCGTCGGGACGCGACAATCGATCCCCGAATCGACGCTTGTACTCCATCAGCGGAGGTAGGAGTAAGCGCCGTCAACGGGGGACCCGCGGAGGTGATTTGCCGCTGTCCTCACAGCAGGGTAAGTCGGCTCCGATACGTCAAATTCAGCTACGCTATTCGCGTAGCTGAATTTGCGTATCTTAAATCCCCCCCGTAGTGAAGACGTAGCCTAAGTCACAGAGATGACACAAGGCTTTACTGAAGTTTGTACAGCACTTCGGCAGCCTGGGTCAAAAGGCAGTGGAGATATTGGCTAGATAACCAAAGAAAAGCACTTGTTTTATGACTACCCTACATGCAGTAAAGGGATTGAGAAGCCAAGACAGGGAACAAGGATTATTTTTATTGTACTCGCTTCCAGTTCAACACAATACCAGTGTATATCAGAACCAGACAGAAGTCATTAGTTGGGATTTCATCTGTGAAACAGTAGCCCATGTCCAATCAATATTTGTTAAGCTGATCCCGGATGCCTATCAAATCAGTTATTCCTAAACTGACTATAGCCAAGAGTAAAGGTTTGGGGCCCAGGTCTCCTGCTGGGATAAATCAACGTAATTCCAGCGATTTCAATGGTGTTGTGCTGATTTAGGCCAGTGAGGAGTTCGTCTCTCTGGTTATTTTCCAGGTGACGCCTGCGGAAAAGATCATATTTAGCAGCCATTTAGTGAGTCAAATCTTACGATATGAAGTTTCATTTTTGTATTTCCTCTCTCATTATTGACCCTTTTGAAAAACAGTAAATACACTAATCAAAATGTGCATATTCTTATTGTTTATATAGGGTCAGAAATGAGCCTGGTACTTTACAGATAAGGAGGAACACAAATTTCCTGCTCAGAAGAGTTCGCAAAATTAATATTTTAGATATTGAGTTTAAGTTTTATTTCTACTGTTAAATCCCACCACCATAGTAAACATAGAAATAGGACTATCTAAGGGTATGTCTTCACTACCCGCCGGATCGGTGGGCAGCGATTGATACAGCGGGGATCGATTTATCACGTCTAGTCTAGACGCGATAAATCAACCCCTGGGTGCTCTCCTGTCGACTCCTGTACTCCAGTACCGCGAGAGGTGCAGGCAGAGTTGACAGGGAAGCGGCAGCAGTCGAAGACACCACAGTAAGTTGATCTATGTACGTCAACTTCAGCTACATTATTCACATAGCTGACGCCGCATAACTTAGAGCAATCCTCCCCAGTGTAGACCAGGGCTAAGTCACATTAACACGCACTGTTCCGAATCCTGACACCCATGTTTTAGAGATAGTTCTGCTGTATCTGGAACTCTGATGAATAACTGGGCTCTCAAAAAGCACAAGAAATAAAAATTAGGGTCTCTATTTTTTTCAAAGAACACACATTTCATATTTACCTTTAGCTTTCAAAGAAAGTTCTTAGAATATTTAATCACATTTGTAGTTTGGCACTAGACCATTGCTCATAAATCCACTCTAATTGCACTGTGTATTAATGCCAAAAGATTAACTGTATGGTCTCTTGACAATTCAGGAGCCACTTTCAACATGAATCAGCAGTGCTGGTTCAAGTGGAAGGTCAGAAGGGCAAAGATTATGATAAGCTGTTTCCCGCAACACAAAGGCCGTCAACTGTGTTATTCCAGTTGTGAAAAGCACGTTAACAATACTAGTAAGTTCATAATTTACAGATATACTACGTGAGGTCTGCCATGCTGCCTGGAAAGCCCAACAACACAAGGTTATAAATTTAGAATGAGCTCTGTCAACACACAGCAGAAAAGAGAACATAGGCGTTCTGTAGAGAAAGGTTATGGGATGTTGGAAATTCCCACTTTACTAAAATCTCATGTGATTGTTTTGAGTAAAATCCTTACTGACATGTACAGATCACACAGAACAAGTGGTAGTAGTTCAATAAAATTCCTAAATGCATAATCCAGAATAAAGAATGCAGTTGCAGGTGCCTCTTCTTTGGAAAACTGTCATCTTGTGATAACTGAGACTACGGAGATCACATCCAAAAATCCATAAGGACCCACACTCTGGGATGGGGGCATCTGAAAGCACTGAACCCAAGCAGGCCTCTTTGTTGATATCAATGATACTTGATTTGAATACGTTTGTGTAGGACAGCTTTCCCCTTCCCTGATCTCCTACTGAAACAATAACATTCTGCTAGAGAAATACAGGATCCAGTATGCTTTGCATGAAATCTGTGGTGACCCTAGGCATAAAATATAGCTCAGATGATATGAGGGGATGCTCTTGTTTTAAAAAGTTCTCTTAAGTGTACTTGAACACGATTAATAACTGACTCAAGAGGCTATAATGGCACAGAAGGGGTTCTGATGATGTAAAACAAAGCTTTAACTCAGATTATAATTATAGTACTAAACACTCATCTTCAAGCAATTAATTGTTACAAACCTACTATATCGAGTAGAGAAGTATTACTCCCATTTCACAAATAGGGAAAAGGAGTTAGAGGCAAACGGATTTGAATGAAGCCAGAGAAGTCATCGTGCAATGGTTGTTTCAATTCACAGTCCTGTTTTAGGCCTTGATTCAGCAAGGTACTTAAGTGAGTTGTCCCACTGATGTCAATGGGACTTCTCATGCACTTAGTTACATATACGCTTAAGTGCTCTGCTGAATTAAGTCCTTAGTTCTGTGTTCAGGCCACACCTCCCTAGTCCTGGTCAGTTGTCTGCATCTGTTTAATATCCGGATTCTCCTACATATTTTACATAGAGAATAAATTCACAGTTGTGACATACAAAGTTTGGGTCCTGCTTGCACATTTCGTCTCATGGCCTGACCACTAAGACGATACAGTCAAATACTGTAAGACCAACTAAGCATCGGATTTCTTAAGGCATACGAGGGCAGTATTTATACATAAAGCAGCAACAGTTCCGTCAGGTTTTGAGAAGAAAGGCGATCTTAGGGGGTGTCCCCTGGCTCCTCCTTTCACCAGAAAAAGGCTTTTGCAATAGGACTTGGAGTAGGAGGAGCACTCTGCTTTTCAGATGTAACATATGTAAAGATTTGTAAAGTATCAGTGATGCATAGCGGTGTCTCGAATAATCAACGGAGGCCTCATCTCTTCACATGCCTTACCCTTAGAACGTGCAAGGTGACCGTCTGCCAAGAGATAGCAATGTATGCCAGCCAGTACATGGATTACTATGGAATGTAGACATTCAACTGGTTGAAATGTAGGGAAAGAATTCTACCTTAAATGTGAACTGGCTTCCTAGGCAAATAACAATGGGCTGGCTACGAGGAGGGGCTCTGTTTTTACTGTAACTGGAGCGTGGCACATCACTGAACTAAAGTGACCACCACGATCACAGGTACAGGGATTGACGGACTCTCACTTTCAATTACTCTGAGAAATACAGTTGCAGAGATCGAATGGTAAAACTAGAAAAAACAGTCTTCCAAATGTGGAGTGGGGAGGTAGTTAACAGCCCCCAGGAAAGTCTTTCTAATGTGCAGTAGAACCCAACTGTGTAAAACAACGAAAAGTGCATTTACTTCAGTAAGAATTAGAGGCTGATGAATACAACACTCTCTACTACAGGTTTGCATTTTAAATCAAATGATAGGCAGAGAGTTTAGCGTTCCCTCTCTCCATTCAGATAAACCTTCTTCCTGCCCATCTCCGAAGTGCGAAGCTGAATTAGCGACTGCCCAGCAAGCAAGCATCTTGAGGGAAAGTTGTTTCCTTTTGCCATGTTTTATCTGCTCCCCATGGTGCTTTCTGAGTCAGTTACAAATCTATATGACAAGCTTTGTGTGCATCCGAGGGGATGCGGACGAGAGTTGAGAGAGACCAGATGTGAGGAACTGGGGGGGGAGTCTGTCTGAACAACTTATGAATTCTGGTTGACAATGTGAAGTTGTATTCTGAAAAACTGCTGTATCATGAGTATGTGTGCAGATCCACTGTTGCTGGCAGGTCCCGTAGCAGGTACACACCAGACAGATACAAAGGGAAATATTTAAGGTTAATGACAGTACCTTAATCACCCAAAGGTTCTGCTAAAAAGGCAGCTCAAACCTTAGAAATTCAGTCTAGCTGACCCCTCTGAAGGGGGGGAGGGGGGAAGGTGAGAGCAGTGGAAACTTCCTCAAAAGGTAGAACAAAGGTGGCCAGGAAGAGTTTAAATAGCAAGCCACACGGCAAGAGAGGACAGGAAGATGAAGCGTAAGAGTGAGCAAGGTCAGTGAAGCTGGGGAAAGGGCTTCATGAGGGAGAGACCACCCAGCATGTAACAGCCTTGTGAGGCAGGGGGACACTGCCTCCCTGTCTTCCTGGACAGCAATGATCCCTAAGGGAAGGGTGAGATAGAAAGAGACCTGTGTGTAATGCTCATTGTTTTGTATGATCTGCACTCGCCTGTGCACTATATAAGTAAGTATAAAAGAGCATTAATGTGTTAGACTCTGTGCCAGGTGTGTGACTGTGTGTTAACAGCTTCACAACTGCCGCACGCCCCTGAGAGAGTTAAACTGCAATCAGGAGCATCACACCTTTGGGGTGGAGCTCTCGGAGAGGAACTCTTTAAATAACTGGGTGATGGGGGGTGGGGGGGGTGGGAGACCACGCTGCTCTTGGGGGCTATGAGCAGGTCGTCAGAGGACTTCCATTTCTGAGGAGAGGGAGTTGACAGAGTCAGGGCCCAGGAAACATGCCGGAGAACCCAAGGGAGGAATCAGATCCGTGGTCTGCTGAGGCTCTAGAGGCTTGAAACATGCCGGGACCCAGAGCACAGAGATCAGGATTCCCGTCACTGCAGTCCTAGTGGGTCGCCGGCAGAGAGCATTCACTAGGACCTATCACTGTGACCCCAGACTAAGAGAAACGGGCACTGAAGATGGAAGTTTTCCTGTGTAGTGTCTTTCTGTGGCAATAAAACTTAACATGTCCTGGCACACTGTTCAACAGCTAGTCCCTCTGGCTGGCAGGTTCACATTGGACCCTGCTTCTGAGAACATTGGGCTTTTGGGGGTTTGCCTCTTGGGTAATAAACTGCCTCCAGAATCCAACGCCTCGTTCTCAGACCTAGTACTGATTCCTGGAGAGCTGGGGTAGCTGGAGGGGGCATACACACTGCACTGGAAAACTCCCCATTGGCTTTAAAAGGCAGAAACATCTGCTGGAGCTGGGACTGGCTCACTAGCCAAGTTCAGCAGGAGGTGAGCCAGGGCAGCCCTATAATCAATGGGAATTGCCATAGAGGTTTTTCAGGGATCAGCGGGGGGGAAATCAATCAATCAACAAGACAAAGAGCAAAAAGAACAAACACTGTTTCAGAATAACCCCTGGGATTTTCACAAAGTCACATGGACAATTTTATTCCCCTCAAACAATCTAATTCCTCTGTTGCCCTCCCTTGGCTGACTGCTCTCAATGGGTTCAGGTTGATTATGATCAGTCTGCTGACTTCCATGAGTGACCCCTTCATCCTTGGTCTATCTGCTGAGGTGGTACATTACCAGTCTGAGCTTCCATCGGCCCGATGCGGGGAGGGGAACACAGATTTAACAATGGGGTGGGCTCAGCTGGCCTATCACTCATACACTGAAAGACACTCAAAGGAAATAGGCAATTTGTTTACGAGCCAAGATTTCTGCTTCAGAGTTTTCTTTTTTGTATCAACACTTCCATGAATTCAGATTTCGATCAACTCTTTGTTACCCAGCTTGACATTATCAAAATATCAACACCCTGACAACCTGCTGGTGTCAAAAGTGAATGTCTTAAAGTCCTTGGACTCAACATGTAGACAGGCTTCCAGTTCCAATCTTTGATCTCTATTATAAAACAGGACCAGTAAAATATTGTAGGGATTTATGGCTGACCTTTCACTTGAGTTGCTTCACACCTAAAATAACAACACCATAATATGTGCCAAAAGAGAGAAAACTGTTTAGATTTTCTTGCTTTTTAAAACTTGATTCACTCTTACTTCTAAAACTCTGGCTTTTATTAAACAAACTGTTAGCCATTATACAATAATTTGTCTTCTGGACAGATGGTTCAGGGGAATTAAATATGTAGATTTATTTAATTTCCTTTTTGGGAGAATTTGCATTATTCTAAGTCATGGCAGCATCACAGCTGCATTTGTGGAACAGTTCCATCAAAGGAAAGTCTATTTTCTATGAGCGTGACCTTGCCATCTTATTGTTTCAAACCAGCTCTTATTACCCTCTTCTGTCCAGACCCACACTTATTTTGTTAGAATTAATAACCATCACATTAAAGAATTAGGATTTTCAGATCCAACATTTGATCAATTTTTAACCAAGTTAGAGACACTGGGAAAGTCTTCCATATTTTCAATATCTAATTTGGTTTTCACTCTTAAAAATGTATCCATTCAGGGCAAAAGGATGGATAAAATGCCACTCCTGGAGTTAACAAACCGAGGCAGTTGGAGACCAAATAAAGATTTAGGGCATGACAAGGCATTATGTCAGTGGGAATCCTAGTTATACAAAAAGAATGAAATCTAAAGCTGGTTGAAAACTTTCTGTCAAAACTGTTCTTCAGCAGGAAATTGGGTTTTCAAATAAGCGATTTTTTTCCATAAAAAGTATGTTTTCCATGGAATTTTTTTTTAAACAAAAAGAATTAAGCCTGAAAAGCAAAATATCTTGATTTGTAAATGCTGCCACAGTGCCTCATGGGTGTTTTAGTTTGATTGCCTCATATCCCCATTCTCCTCTATATGAGAGACTTCCTGCAGGACTATATCTCCCATGACACACCAGGGCTAGCAACTCTCACTGTCTTGGAAAGGGGAGGTAGCAGATCATAGTAGACCACGGTGCTTTATGGGAGATTTAGTCCACCCAGGAAGCCCAGCCCATAGAAGAGAATGAGGCACCCAAACTACAACTCCCAGGAGGCACCATTCCCAAACCAAAATATTTGTTTTCAGTTTTTTATATAGGATGCTCGCTTACTGATAAGTTGAGTTCTCTGGACAAACTGTGTCTTCAGTTCCACACTGTAGCACCTATGTGCCCTGTGTCTTGCAATGAGAGAACTATTCTAAAACAGTTTATCCATTTGAAACCCTTGTGCATGGACCCACAGAGGCAGTGTTTCAATTGCTATTCCAAGTGGCACCCCCGTGCCCATAAGCACTTAAAAAGCCCCTGGATTTCTTTGGATCCTCCACAATTCGGTCCTATCACTAATCAACTAAAACGTCATTGAAATAAATTATAAATCAGCTACTAAGAATAAACAACTAGAAATTGAAACCAACATAACTGCACAATTAGCATCAGAGAAATAGTTCTGAATCCCCTGTGGCTGGTGGACAAAGCAGAACAGAGGACCGTTACTGGGATGTGGCATTTTATAAGCACAGGTCAATACACACACACCCTCTAATGGATAAACTGTGTTACAATGTTCCAGGACCATCAGACTCAGCACATGAGAGTGGGAAACTACAGAAGCAATTTCGTGAGGGAGAAGCAAGTGTTACTGACACAGGAAAGTTTTAAAACCTTCAACAATATTTCTAGACTGTGTCCAAACAACAGCGAAAGGTCAGAGCACTGGTGAAGATGTTAAGGAATTAGCATGCATAGGCTACTTCTGTCAAAGACCGTGGCCCTGCCTCTAGTCACTCTCAGCCAGACATAACACAAGTGCAACAAGAGCAAATTTCCAAGTGCAATAGGTTAGGCATAGATTCACGTTAACTGATGGGAGAAATCTTTAGTTTCCAATGCTCTTTCAAGCTCCCACCGAGATGTGAAGGTGCCACCTTATGAATTATAAGCAAATCTGGTAAGGAGGGGATGGGAGAAAATGTGAGTGATCTGCAATGACCTAAGCGGAAGAATGTTAACCAGAGATGCCCCTTCTTCTGGGCACATCTGTGGAACAACAGTGGAAAGTGTCTCTTCTATAAATAGGATGTAGCCCAACTGATCAGGAGGGAAGAACAGGATCTGCTCTTATGAACCTTGGGCTGTCCCTTCATATTCCACTTTCTGTTGCTCCTGCTTCAAGATTACACAGTAGGTTGGCAGAAAGAAGGTTATTTGGCTTCCTTCAATGCAAGAAGAGCCTGTAATATTTGATGCAGCCTGAAAGCACTTTTGCACATTTAACTGTGAAAATCAGGAACAACAGGATACAGATTTGGAATGGAAGTTTCCTAAACTTACCCCATCACATAATTTAAAATCAGCATATATGCACTACTACATTTTACTTCAGAAATGTAGCATTTGTTTCTTAAGTTGCTTTGATTGATTCCTGTTGAATTTCAATTACATTTTACTGTACAATGAAATTGTGTATTCCTGTTTTATGCAACGCCTTCTTTGGATGTACTGGGATTTTGTACAACTTAGTTATCCACGTGTTGGATTTGCTTGTTTCTTGCAGGTTTACTATATTAATGGTTTGAGTTTCATAGAATCATATGACTGGAAGGGACCTCGAGAGGTCATCTAGTCCAGTGCCCTGCACTCAGGCAGGACTAAGTATTATCTAGACCATCCCCGACAGGTGTTTGTCTAACCTGCTCTGAAAAATCAACAATGATGGAGATTCCACAACCTCCCTAGGCAGTTTATTCCAGTGCTTAACCACTCTGACAGTTAGGAAGTTTTCCCTAATGTCCAACCTAAACCGCCCTCGCTGCAATTTAAGCCCATTGCTTCTTGTCCTATCCTCAGAAGTTCAGAACAATAATTTTTCTCTCTCCTCCTTGTAACAACCTTTTATGTACTTGAAAACTGTTATCATGTCCCCTCTCAGTCTTCTCTTCTCCAGACTAAATAAACCCAATTTTTTCAATCTTCCCTCATAGGTCATGTTTTCTAAACCTTTAATCATTTTTGTTGCTCTTCTCTGGACTTTCTCCAATTTGTCCACATCCTTCCTGAAATATGGCGCCCAGAACTGGACACAATACTCCAGTTGAGGCTTAATCAGCGTGGAGTAGATTGGAAGAATTATTTTCTCGTAAGTTTGTTTCATTGTTTCTGATAATGATCCTTTATAGTGAATTTAAGGTAAAAGGGAGACAGATCTCAGAAAAGGGAGATGGCTATTCTTACCTTCTGCACTAGATACACACTAGTTGCCCTTCCACTGGCCACTTGATCCAGCGCTGTTCCTTCCAGAACAAAGTAACTCACATCTGCGATATGAACACCCACTTCAACGTTTCCTGAAATTGCATCGGGAAATCAGTATAGTATTAAGGGGAAGTAATTGCATCCAAAAGTCACCTTTCAAGAAGAATTTCTACAGTTTTACAATCACTAGACTTTCTGCCAGGTCATTTTTGGCAGAGCAGTTATTCAAGAGGTATGAGTTCTGTGAGTTAGCACAGAGCCATCCATAACGAGACAGCAAGAAAAATGTACAAGAAGATGGCAACACGCAACGTTCACAAGTATTTTGCCTCTTTGGACAGGTCTTTACATTTCCAGATATAGATTCTTTTGACTGATTATTCTATTTAGCAACTGACACAGTAAACTCTACTCTCTCTCCCGCGAAACTGGCCAGGAATTGTTGCACCTAAGACTGGGGCTGATAAAAGCGTTATATTCTACGATGCAGCCTCTGATCACCCTCATCTAAAGTTGACGTACGCACTGCAGAGACTACAATTTGGGGGGCACAGAGTTTTGACTGGAACTAAGAATTCTTTCTTTATCTAGGTACCGATATGACCCTGTTACTGCAAGTGAATATGCAATTAGTAAGAAGTGTGTGACCATGTCTTTCAAATCTGGACCTTGTTACAATGATCCAGGCCTTCGTTACCTTGATATCAGGACACTGCAAAGCAACTTACATGGGCTACACCTGAAAATCATGTAGAAATGTAAAGTAATACAGAATGCAGTTGCAGGCTTATTATGCAGTACTTCAAGCAGGAAGAACATTACACTGTCGGCTCTTAGGCCTTGGCTACACTTACCCGCTAGTTCGGCGGCGAGCGATCCAACTTCTGGGTTCGACTTATCGCGTCTAGTCTGGACGCGATAAGTCGAACCCGGAAGTGCTCGCCGTCGACTGCGGTACTCCAGCTCGGCGAGAGGAGTACCGCGGAGTCGACGGGGGAGCCTGCCTGCCGAGTGTGGACCAAGGTAAGTTCGAACTAAGGTACTTCGAACTTCAGCTACGTTATTCAAGTAGCTGAAGTTGCGTGCCTTAGTTCGAATTAGGGGGGTAGTGTAGACCTGGCCTTAGATCTGCACGAGTTTCCATTTCATTTCCGGGTGGAGCATACGTTGCAGTTTATGACCCATTTAGCCCTAATTGGCTTAGACACTGGACACCTGAAAGCCCAGCTCTCTTCTTGCATGATATTGTTGCAGTTACAATTAAAGGAGATATTAGCAGCCCCTGGGTTTAAAGTCAGGGGGGCTGCTCACAAGGTGTTTACCATGAAGCAGGCGTCTTTAGCTTGGGAAGTAATTTAATCCCATGGTCCAACAGAGCCTGGTTTGTTGATCTTCAAGGAAAACTACAAGTGTTGTCTGTTTTTTCACAAAGAGCTGGGCTAACAGATTTACAGTGATTAGCCGTAGAATATTTTTAATTCCATTGATCTCTCAATTGTTAATAGGCTTTTTTGTTTGTTTTTAAACAGGGTTCACCCTGGGATAATGATAATCTCTATATAAGGATAATCTATATATAAGGATAAATATCTGTAATAGAAACAGATATTTCTATTACAGATATTTATCCTTATATATAGATATATTTTTTTAAATACAATTTCCACTAACTCTGTACTAGTAAAAAAACAAGTATAGGGCAGCTTTGTAAGCAGGTGTAAAAATGAAACATGATTATTATTTTAATCTAATTTCTGTATTTTAAGTGTAATTTGATAATAAACAGATACAATAACTAAGCACTGCAATTTATCTGACTGCACACCCTTCTGATGATGCTAGACCAGGGGCGGGCAAACTTTTTGGCTTGAGGGATAGCTCAGGGGTCTGAGCATTGGCCTGCTAAACCCAGAGTTGAGAGTTCAATCCTTGAGGGGGCCATTTAGGGAACTGGGGTAAAAAATCTGTCTGGGGATTGGTCCTGCTTTGAGCAGGGGGTTGGACTAGATGACCTCCTGAGGTCCCTTCCAACCCTGAGATTCTATGATCGGGTTTCGGAAATTGTATGGAGGGCCGGTTAGGGGAGGCTGTGCCTCCCCAAACATCCAGGTGTGGCCCAGCTTCCCCCCTCCCCCTCCCCGCTTCTCACCCCCTGATGGCCCGCCCCCACGGGACTCCTGCCCCATCCACCCCTCCCCCCGCTCCCTGTCCCCTGACAACCCATGGAACCACCCACCCCTGACTGGTTCCTGCGCCCCATCCAACCCCTCCTCTCATTCATGACTCTTCCCCCCCAGGATTCCTGCCCCATCCAACCACCCCTTCTCCCTGGCTGCCCCATCCAACCCCCCCCCTCCTTCCTGACTGCCCCCCGGGACCCCTGCACCCATTCAAACCCGCCCTCTGACCGTCCCAACCCCTATCCACACTCCCGCACTCCCCTGCCCACTATCCAACCCCATCTGCTCCCTGCCCCCTTACCAAGCTGCCTGGAGCACCCGTGGCTGGTGGCCGGCTGGAGCCAGCCACGCCACTGCGCCACCCAGAGCACGGGTCAGGCCGCGGCTCTGCAGCTGCGCTGCCCGGCCGCCCAGGACTCAGCACGGTGCGCTGAGGCTGCAGGGGATGGAGAACAGCGGGGGAGGGGCCAGGGGCTAGCCTCCCAGGCCAGGAGCTCAGTGGCCGGGCAGGAGGGTCCCACAGGCCATAGTTTGCCCACCTCTGTGCTAGAGTTTAATATGCTGGGAACTGAAAGTTATACATAAGCATATATGAAGGCAGCTAAAAAGTACAGGAAAGAGGGAATGCTGGAATTTAGCTTTGTCCATCTAACCTGTATTCCATTAAAGTGGCCTGCAGAGAGTAAATACAATGGGCCGCAGTGGGAGAGTGTAATAATCCCGTCCCACGCCGAGGGACAAATTCCATAAGTCATTAGAAAGCTTGGGAGAAACTTCTGTAGATTAAAGATCACACGGTTCACCTCAGATAGCTGCCTACAGCTGTGTTGTGATATTATCAGATGCCCTGAAAGCTGCTCTACATGGATCAAGAGCCCAAGCCCGAAACTACTTAGACAGTACGTCTAAGACCAAGAGTTTTAATATTACGAGCATTTGAAGCCAACACTTTCAGAAGGTAAAAAAAATACTGATTTCTTTTGAAGCCAATATTGTAATGTACTGACCCTACAGGCAAATATTGACCAAAGGAAAAGGAGAAGGGGTCATTACATCATGACTTCAACGACACCTTCGTTCAATATGCGCACCGTTACACATGTGAACTTTTTTGTCCTCAGCAGAAAAATCGACAAACCGAGAGAGATCTCATTACATGAGATAATAAAACATGAAGGTAGCCAATAAAAACACACTGAGCCGAGTTAAATTTCACTCAGGATTCCCACCAGAGGTTCTAAAACCAGGGGTCAACTTGAGCCCTCTGCGTTTGAACTTTTAATGGAAACCCTAAGTAAATATTTTGTTACCTATATTGATATAATGTGCACTGGCAGCTCTCAGGTTTATGTTGCTAAAAGTATGACTCACTCATTCCTCTCCTACAACCCCCCTCCCCCCAAAAAAGTCCAGTCCAAGAGAACTTTAAGATACAGTATAGAGCTTTCGGTAATCAGCCAATACGACTTCTCTTAAGCCACTGCTTTTAATATGTCCTAGACAAAATACCATACTAATCTGTTCAGCAAACGCTGCACAGGAATAACTACCGATCGCTTTCTTCTGGTTTATTTGCTAGGAAAATGAAAGATCTTTGTGGACAGAATAATGTGGTTTCCCAGAATTCCCCTCCGGATTTGTAGGTATTGTTTTCTTTTATTGAATTGATGTTTGTTTCAATGTCCCAAAAGGAAAGGTTGTAATATGGAAATTATTTCTTAAGGGAAAAAGAGTGCGCAATCTGCAGAAAGGGATGAAGAGTTAGACCAGCACATTCAGTTATAAAAAAGGACAAATGTTGAGGTCAGAAAAATACATGTCAGCACTGAGAACAGAGGCCTCTGGGAAAAGTAAGGATAAGCACAGTGCAGGCCACTGCATTCTACAAGGAAGTCCACATCCACCTTCATGTTTAACGAGGAAGTACAATTTCAGAGTAAATGGAGGCGGCAAGTCCCAGGATACAGTGCTCCATCCTGACTGAGTTTCTCGAGCAGCCCGTCTTCCAAAGAAGCTTTACAAACCACACAGACTTGCTTCACCGCTGAAATGCAGTGACCTCTAAAGATACAATGCAACCACAGCAGGGCACAGCAACACAGACTTGTGTTCAAGCCACAGCAACCTTTACCAGAAGTTTAAGATCGGATGTAAAGAAGAACACTGCACCCAGTGAGAAACGTATAGGAATTTAGTCAGGCAGATTATTCAGCCTGGAATCGAAGCAGGAGCTGAAAGCTAACACCTACTTCAGTGAAAAGTGCCATGGGATCTTTGATGGCCAAGAGAAGTCAGGACCTCGTGGTTTTATCTCATCTAAAACTAGTCAGCTTTTAACAGAGATAAAACTAGATTCCTCACTCCCATTCTGACAATGCCATCGCTAGTTATGCTGCATTAGGGCTGGACAAAACTAGGTTACTAGATGCTATGGATTAGGGAATATAGACTATGCCATGTATGTTGGAGGGAGAAAGAGGAACTGCTTGAAATCAAACAACTGCATTGCAAGATCCACCAACAAAGAAGAGTTTTCATCCAGAGCTCTACAAAGCAGAAAAACAGATCAAATGACTTGCTTTCACCCTGCAAAGCTTCCTTTAGGCTAACACATTTTGCAAGATTAACAGTCGCTGCAGTCATCACACTGATTACATGCAATCGTAGAAATGCTGCAACTGAAAAACAATCCTGTTTTTCACCTTGCAGAAAGACAGCAAAGCTTTTCCAGCAACACAATTCACTCCTAGTTTAACAACAATTTAGCGGCTGGATAAGACACAAATAATGGGCTTGTGCCGTCTCCAAGTTCCTGCAATACAGTGTGTGAGCTCATACTGAAGTTTAACAAACGACAGAGCTAACAATGAAGCTTCACGAGGCTCCAATTGGTTTTAGAGAGGGGGCTCACT